AATACAATAATTAACAATTTTATACTATTAAATCAAATAAATAAATGAACAGATTAAATTGGATATATTCGGAAGGAGGTACTAAAGAGGAGGGTATAGATAGGATACAAATCCATATTAGATATTAATCTTCAGAAACAATATCATAAGCCAGCCAAATGATTTCACAATCAACAAAATATGCGAAATCAAGGATGATAACTCTTTTATAGGCTTAGGAGTACTACGATTGCATTTTTCCGAGTCATTGAGATGGTAAATTTCTATACCATAATCTAAAATCTATTGATTCATGAACTATAACATATACAATAAGTTAATAACCTGTATTAACCGCATTTCTCTCACATATTTACCACCTAAATTTAATATTTAATTATTTTGATATTTTATAATTTTGAATTAAAAATGGAGATAATAAACCTCTGCGAACATCTACAATTAGTGAGATATATTATAATTAATACTCTCTCTGATTCTATTTATAAGACCTCTTCTATTTTGTTTGAAATGTAGGATATCTTGTTATAATTAAATTATATTTTTTAATTTTATTTTTTTATTAGCGTGAAGGTATTTAGTATGATTGTATCATTATTTAAAGTCAAAGTTAAAAATAAAAATATATCTTATTTTTTATAATATCATTAATATACATGAAATTGTTTTTTTTGGCCAAAATATATGTGAAATTATTAAAAATGTCCTATAATAAGAACTAGAAGGGTATATTTTTAGCCTAGTTGAAAAGTTAAGCAAGTGATACTTCATTTTTAAATATTCATTAATTTGACCCTTAGTTAAACAAAAAATTGCAGAAAATGACCTAAAAAATTTAAATGACTCAATCAATATTAATTTTCTTATAAGGTTATTTTTTATCATTTATTTATAAATATACTTACTATTTACAATTCTTCATATGTAATTTACAAGTCATTTATAATTTGTTTTAAAATAAGTTTGAGCTGTTAATATTTAAAAAAATTATAAATTTTGTTTGAATATTTATAAAATAATATTTAAATTATTTAATATTCAAATATTTAATATTTAATAGTATTTATTAAATTTTATTTTAACAAGACTGTTAAAACCCTATCTATCAATGTGCGTGAGCCCCACACACATGTCTCTCCTATTGAAAGCGTTGTCGAACATTAAATATAGGCCTCTTTCCTAACAAGAAATTGAATATGAATTTATTACGTTATGAGAGACTAACTCTTTTTATTAAATTTAACTTTTATTGATATCAAAAATCATTTGATTTAATGGCATGAGCCTTTCCCTCTGATGTAAAGCATTGTGACTTCCATCGCTATGGGCCCAAAAATACGTGGGGATTAAATTAGATAGGCGTGTGGGGTGTAGTTAGGTGGGCTGTGTGCTGTATATTGGGTGGGTGAGTATTCCATGTGTGTGGAACCTCTTGCTAGCAGGAAGGTTTAAATAAGTTATAAATTATATTTATTGTTTAATTCAAAAGAAATATTTTTTTGCCAGAAATTCAATGTGTGTGTGTGTGTGAGACTTCCTAGAAGTTGGTTCATTATGGATGACAATGATGAAAATATGTAATGTGACAAAAATGAAGTAGTTATAATAAATTTTATTTTTTACATACACAAAAGAAAAAGGGGACAATAACAAAGAAGTTTTAAAATGATCAATTAATTTATATTATATTTCAAGTATCAAATTTTAAAATTTATAACTCAATCTCTCAATTTTGTAATTATATTGTGATAAATTTACAACTTGTATTTTAAATTTTAACAGAAAAAATAATTTTTTTATTCTTTAATCATATTAAAATTTAAAAAATAAGTTGTAAATTCATTACAACACAATTACAAAATTGAGAAATGAACTTGCAAATTTTTTGAATTTGATACTTGAAACTTAACTTTAATTAATTAATTTTTTTGAGATCTCTTTATTATTCTTTTAAAGAAAAAAGCCCCCAAGTGTTAGTTAAAAGATTTTTATCAGCTTATTAGGTGAAAGACATTTAAGCTCCCAATGGTCGACCTTCCCAAACAATTTTGCACGGGATACGGACTTGTGTTAAGAAGGGGGGGAAACAATTTATGTGATTATGTGATGAGCTGAGATTTTAGGAAACATGATAATAATTTTTTTTTAAAATTATATAAATAATAATTTAATCCTTTAAAATATCATAATACTAATGAAGTCTTTTGAGATCTCTTTATCAATAATTTTTTTTAGAAAAAGACCATTCTATTCTTACTGATAAATTATGATTCCTTATTCAATTCTTGTGATTTTTTAAAAAAAAGTTGTCATTCTTTAAATAAAAGTTGTGAATGAAGTTTGTCATTTTAAGAACTAGTTTTTCAATAATAGAAATTAAATTTGACAAATTATGATTTTTTGTTTAATTCTCACGATTCATAAAATAAAAATTGTTATTTTTTAAACAAAAATTGTGATTAAAGCTTGTTTTTTAATAACAAAAATCACACTTGACAAGTTATGATTTCTTATTTAACTCTTACAATTTATAAAACCAAAGTCGTGACCTTAACAAAAAAGTTGTGATTGAGTAATGTTATTTTCAATAAGAGTAAAGTGATCTTTTTCCTAAAAAAGTTATTGACAAAGAAATTTCTAAAGACTTATTAATATTATGATATTTTGAAAGATCAAATTATTATTTATATAATTTAAAAAAAATTATTATCATTTTCCAAGATTTTATTATTTTATCTTATTTTGAATTTGATAAAATCTGAATAAAATACGCTGGTATACGTCATTCAAGATTTATTAATGATAATGATAATAATAACATTATTAAACTGTTAACTATTTTATATGTTTATGATTCAAAATAACAAAATATTCAGGAATTAAGCATTTTTAAATCTAACAATATCTTCTCCCACAATTCTCTATGATTAATTCATATATTAATTATAATTTAACTAAAAATTACTCCCCACACACACAATCATGCGTTTTTGGGAGGATTACGTTAAACGACTTGTAAGAATTACTCTTAACTACTTTCTTGATATTAAAGAAAATAGTTAAATTTATAATTTTTATTACTTTTCAAAATTATCCTTAATCAAATTAAATATATTATTTAGGCTAAGAGTGTAAGCGACAAGAACATTTTTTTAAAAAATAAGTTATAATTGTTTCATTAATTATCTAAGAGTTCTTGATTATCATTTCTAGATACATTAACATTATCCTATCTCTGTCCCAAATAATTAGACATTTTTTTTAGATATTCAAAATGTCAAAATATAAAATATTTCAATAAAAATAAAATTTCATTAATAATATTTTTTTAATATTTTCTTCTCATTATATTCTCTTTTTAATATTCTTTCACAAATGAATAGTTAAATTAAGAGTATTTTTGGAGTTTAAATTTTTATTTTGAAAGAATAAAGTCATAACATATATTTAATAAGCTTTAATAATATGTATAATTTTTTTATAAAGTTAATATATATAATTTTATTTAAAAATATCTTACAAATTGAGTTGTTGATCGAAACCTCTTAATTAACCCTCTTAATTAAAATTTTTAAAGGCTTAATAAATGATAAAGTACAATAACATCGTACAATATATATAGCAAACCCACCTAATGGAATAAAATTTATTTTTATTGTATCTTATGAATTGAGATAGAAAAAGTACTAATAACCTTTGGTTTTTACAAATATTTCTGAATCTGATCAAATTGAACATCCATTGTTTAGAAAACTCATATTGCATCACATTGGTTTCTGTCTAGTTGTTCGCTGCCTAACTTATAATATATGACACATGATCGATGCATTATCAATGGCCAGGTTGTGTCAAGGTCTAACCCAATGAATTGTGCATGAGAAATAAGGTGCAGTTATATGATATTGTTAATTATTGAAATTATATTCATTTTCTCTTGACTTTATTTAAATCACAAAATTACACCAACAACGTTTCAACCTAGACATTTATTCATATTTCATCTCTATGGAGAAATTCTTACATGAACCCATGTATCAAATTATCAATGCTTCATTCAATAAAATTGTACCAATTTAATCAAACAAAATCTTATGTGCTATTATTTTTAATGACTTTATCTTTAAGCTAAATGACCAAATTATTTCCAAAACTTTAAGTTCAATAACATTATAAACCATAAACTCATATTATACAAATTGTTCTTTTAATTTTTGAAAATAATGTAACGTGGCAATTGTTGTTAACTCTTTGTTAATTTAATTGTTAATTGACCAAAAAATAACTTTAAGGATTATAGAAAATGATAAGAATATTATAATAAAGGACACAAAAATAATAAACACAGTCTAAAAAATTATAGAAAATGATAAAAAAAATTGATCTCTCTTTGTAACTTTTTGAGGTCCTTTTTTTCTGCCAACTATTAACTTTTGCTAATGGCAAAAGCTAGATTACATTATTTTTAAAAGTTGAAAGAACAATTTACATAATAAACAAGTTCAAGACCTATTGTACTATTGGACCTAAAATTCAAAGGATAATTTGCTCATTTATCCAAATCTTTACAATAGAATGCATATTTAAATTTTACTTTCTCTCTATTATCATTAATGGCACAATTAATTTATATTTAATACCCTCTGAATGTCATATTTTTATTAGATGAAGTATGAATGACATGGTGCACTAAGTGCATGCAAAAATTTATTTCTTGGATTGAGTAGCTCTCATGGAATTCTTTTAAACATGATAATATGAGATGTCCACAGGTATTTAAGGTTTTTTTTTTTTTTAAAGGAAAGGCTAAATAGTAAAAGTTGAATTGGTAAAAGATAAAGGTTATAGCTAGTATTGTTTTTTAAGTAGCATCCGTGACTTTCAAGAAGTAGCCAAGGAGGCACTAAAAGAATTATCAAGCAATAATTTGTGGCTTTCATAAACATGATTTGATGAGCTTTAAAGGATAGTGCAAATCTTAATTTCCATCAAGCAAAACCAGGTAAAGTATCATGTAACCCCAAACATCATTATATTCTGTTAATCAATGTATGCATCACTTTTAAAGAGGTCTCATTCCACTTTTGCAAACGCAAAGCATTTACACATCAATTGTGTTTAGAGTTGCCATGGACAAGAAAGATCTCAAGTCTCTAGATTTGTCAGCTTACTTTGAGTTCACAATCCAAAACTCATCAATCAAGAAAAATAGTCTCCTTACCTCGAGATCAGGACAGCGGTAAAAAAGTGGACTCTCGCTAATCAACAACCATCACAAGCTGGTTAAGAAAATACAAGAGATTTGCATCTTCAATAATAATATAATGAATTGGCTTTTAAAGAATTACATGGTCTTGAAAACAGAGATAGACAGAAGTCAATAACGGTAGATTGCAGTAATCAACTGTAAATGTCAGGAAGGAAAACAAACTTAAATTATCCGTATAATGATTTCAAAAGAGGTTTTGAGATTTTTCAATTTGAAAAAATAAGACAGGAAAAAAAATATTATTTAAGACTTCATAAAGAGGATCTTGCCTTCAACTTGTCAGTACATAACATTCACTCAATATGTAAGTCACGAGAAGAAAGTAAATAGGAAGTGAAAAGCAAATGCAATTGTAGCATGCCAATATTTTCTACCTCTAGAGTCAGTTTATTGGCAAAATGAAAAGGTAACTCATGACTATCCACAGGCTAATTGTCCATATATACCAATAGTTTTTATTTTGGGGTTCAATAGTCAATATTTTTTTCTCCTGCAAATCTTTGAACATTTTTCAACTACTACTCAAAAGAATGAGCCCCCAATCTCAAAAACAAAAAACAATACAGCCTTATCCCAAGTAACTAAGTCATTGTGATGCAGGATATCAACTCACCAAATCACTACTCAACAACTCGCCCAAGCTGTCTCCAGGTATCCAAGATTCTTCACAATGGGTGTGAGGACAAGCTTCTCATTTCCTCAAGTCTGAAACGTAATCATTCAACATATGTGAAACAAAAAACATTCCTCATATATTATTCTTCTGAGTTGTGATTAATCAGTCATCTTTAGTACGAAACCATCACGAGTCAAATTAGCTAAGATAACTTATCAATCAAGTGATCACACGAACCGTAACTTTCACCCCTCAATCTTGAAAAGTGAAGCGGTCTAGAATCTCAATAGCATCAAAATAAAACGTTAACTTAGCCAAAGGGTAGATTTCAAGCTCTACCGTTAAAATACCCAGCTTAGTTATCGAGATGAATTTGCAATCAAAATAGGGGGGGAAGGGGAAAGGGGAAATAACGCACTCTCGCTGTCACAAATTGAATAGAAAATAACTCACAGACTAATGGGGAGGTCAGGGGCAGGTGGTTGGAGAAGAAGAGACGCCCAGCCTCGTCTGCTTGTTCGATGATGGCATCAATGTCGATGACCTCTGTAACCGATTCCAAAATGTTCTTCTGCTGATTCCTGTAGAACCGACACTTCTCCTTGCTCTGCTGGATCATCTGGTCATTTCTTTCCCATTCCTAATTGTCAGCATGAAAGTCTCGTCCAAAATCCTAGAATTCACCCAGGCGTCTGGATGGGCAATACCTTTTCTTCTCCGTTCTAAGGAGGATGCAATCCGCGAAAGCTTTTATTTATAAGTTATATTTAAAATTTCTTTTCATCAAATTAATAAGTTTGCCTGTTCTACAGTTCAATTTCAGAAAACTAAACAAGAGGCTTGTCACTCAATGGGAGAGTTAGGACGATTCTTCTTTAAACTCATTCAGTCTTTCATGCTTCTTCCTTTGCAATTCAGCTTCATAATTTCTTAGTCTTTCATTCATTTTCTCCTGTCATCAACCATTAGTTAGACTTAGAAACAAGACAAGAAGAGAAAGAGACATTCAAAAAGCACATGATCTCAAATCCCATCAGGTAGCTTAAAAATCCGAACGATCTCAAATCTTATTCATTCCAGAAGGATGGAAAGCAGGAGGCGAGAGATTACCTTATAATTAGTTTCAAGGCGATGCATAACGTAGAAACCGAGAATCCCTCCGACGATTGTACCGGTGATGATCCGAATGTATGCCCATTTGTGAGATGGATTCCTCATCATCGATTTAATTTCTGCCTCCTCCTCCTCAGCCGCTTGAGGAGGCCAATTGTTAGTAAAGCAATATTACTGATACCGCAGGCGGATCGGAAAGGCACAACGGAACGATACCAGACGCATCAGGGACAACCGAGTTGAAGAAGGATTAGGGCAAAATTGGGTCGGAAATCTTAATTGGCCCGATGCCCAAAAACAAGTTGATTGGCCCAAGATTCCTGTTAAAAGCCCAGAAATAAATCTGGCTGACCCAATGTCCCTGTTAATCAAACCGAGACCAATTAATACCAATACAATCGCTAACCCAAAAAAAAAAAAATTAAAGTATGCATTCAATTCTTTAATTTTATATAAAGTTTTATTTTAATATTTTAATTTTATAATGTATATTTTTAGACCTTTAATCCTAACATTATTAGTTTCATTAACAAAAAATTTCTATAATGAACATTTAAATATTAACAAAACATTTTCAAATATGGATGTATTAAGTCTAATTTTTTAAAAATTAATAATGATTAGCAAAAAAATAAATATTTAAACTAACATTATTAGATTTAGAGAACTAAAAATATAATTTATAAAATTAAGGGTTTAAACTGAAATCTTTTATAAAATTAGAATACCAAATGTATATTTTAGCAAAAAAAAAAAAAAACCAATACAGTCATATCATAAATAATGAGGAAAATTAACCTCTAGATAATTTTAGTTTTTCTCAATTTTAAATTAGGTATCTGTAATTTATTTTATTTTAATTAAATCTTTATAGTTTGATTGATTAAATATGTTAATTCTGAAAAATTAAAATTGTTAAATTTTCTTTTAAAAATGAAATTAAATTTTTTATATTTTTTATTAAAAAAATATATAATTTACAATTAATTACATAATTTTTATTGCTCAAAATTTATATAATTATGTTATATTTTTTTAAAATTTTATATTTGTATCATTTTAATAAAAAATTAATGAAACTGTAAAGATTGTATTAAAATCAAATTTTGTTTTTGCTTTTTCAGGCTAAAAGCATTAAATCAACTCATTTTTATAAATTTTAAAATTTTTATTTTTGAAAAATTAATCATTCATTAATATTCTTAACCTTCAAGGACAAATATATTTAATTGATCAAAATATATGGGTTTAATTAAAATAAAATAAATTATAGAGACTTAATTCAAAATTGATAAAAATTAGAAGGACCTTCTAATTAATTTTTCTTATATAATTAATTGGACAATTATAATAATTCTTTGAAACTTCTATTAAATGGATCAACACTTCTAAGTCAAGTAAAGTCTCGTCCAAAATCCTAGAATTCACCTGAAGCAAAGATGCAATGCAGGGGAAGATTTTATTATCAGTTATATCTAAAATTTATTTTCATTAAAAAAAATCATGATGGGATAACTGATAAGAGAAGTAAAAAATATCAAAAATAAGCACAATAGCCAATGAAATGTAAGGAAAAAAAGAGAAAGATAACGAGCAATCGTATCTATCTCACAACCAGAAGCTAGGAAGAGAACAAGTAGAGATGAGGGTGTAAGCACCCAATCAATTACTAGGCACATTCTTTCAAGAGCCATGCAGGAAATAACACCAAACAAACTTGGTTGCCACTTGAAGCTATACTGCCACATAGCATTGCCAAGACTAAAAAAGAAATCCATCGGAGCCAAGCAATTCCCATCAAAGCATAATGTATCCTTGAAACCAGTTTACACTAGTGGAACACATACAAACTCCTCTAACTCCCCTTAACTCCATAAGAGAAAATCAAAAATTGATAGTAGTTTTTCAAGAGGAACCCACCTTAGACATCCTTTATTTTTCCCTCTATAAACCTAAAGTAATCAGCTAAAATATAGCCAAGATAGGGCCACCCAAGGCAAAAAGCAACAAGCAAATTAATACGCACCACAGTCATAATATAGATAAGGACAAAATTGCAAGAACCACCTTCATTAGCAAGAGCCTCCCACAAACCATAGTAGTAAAGAGATAAAAATATCAACAAGTAAAATATATTTTCGATAAGGCACCAAATCAAATAAAACCAGTCCAACCAATCTATATCCCACAAGAGCCCTCTCTAAATTACAGTAAGATAGCAATGGTGAAAACCAAGATCAAGCTCTACCAATCAACATTGATCCACAATGAAGAAAGTACCTAGTTTAGATGAGTTAAAAACACTAGCCACCCAACCGCAGAAGTCGAAGCCCCAATCCTTGAAAATTTGTCTAATCCACTTCATCCCTTCCAAAAATTTCTTCGCTCACAGTCCCTGCACCGAAATTACAATCCCCAAAGGAACCCACCGACAATCTTCATCCCCTCCGTTGCTGTTGAAATCAATACACCCTCCAATCTCTATGGCGATCGCAACTTGAATTGACATTCCACTCCAAATGTAGTGACAATACCAAGCCTCCAACACCCCGCCAACCCTTACTCTCCCCAAAGCACCATCACGGCTCTTCAAAATCCCCCCACTCACACACCCCAAAACCTATAGTCACCAGCACACCAAACCAAAACACATTAACCCATATGCTCGACCTATGTTGTGAAAGAGGTGTCACCGACAACATGCTACACCCGCGTGGAGAACCCTCAAGGAATGAGAGGAGGGTCAAAACCCTACCAAAGCATTCTCTGCAGGGCTAGAATATCTGTGTTATAACATAGATGACCTCTAGCATTGTGAAATCATTCATGTCTCTTCTAATTGAGGAAATAGAAATTAGAAGCTTCAAGAATAAGGACCATTTTGTTCCCAACTACTAATATATATACTTCCTCATATAAATCTTTTGACAATATTATACACGCTAAAATTAATTAAATATACCTTGAAATTTTATTTTATTTTTTTATGAGAGTGATATGATCAAGTAATATGCAAAATCTTTCCATTTTTCTAACAGTAATTTGCAAAAATAAAATAAAATAAAAGGAAAGAAATTCAGAAAACTACAAAAGATTGTTTGGCATAAACCGCAAACACCTGGGCCAACTATTAGATTTTGGAACATTGGGTGAATGAATGCTTTTGTCAGCGAAGCAGAAAATCCCACTATCAAGCTTTCATGAAGGACGATCATGTTCTTGAATTATTGCAAAGTAAATGCAATTTCTTCTAACATTTCCATGGAAGCCAACACTTGAAATTAACCTATACTTCATGTTGTCAACCAACATGAAACTATCACCCAAATCTTCAACCTCCACCCATTGATGTTGATTGTCGATCTCCAGTTTTGTTCAGCTTCAACACCGTAAATCCTTTTATCTGAGTTGAAACAACCAAATTAAATCTTCCTCGCCATGAACAATAGAACTATAAATCTTACTTTCAATCACAACAAGCATTGGATCTTCCGAAACAACATGAGCCAATCTAAGAGTTTCGGGATCGAAATATACCGTGTTATTATTCATTCTAAATACAACTTCTACAACGTCTAATTTTGGTTCGGGGAAACGGACAACAAGTTTCTTAGTCTGAGGAGGATTATTCTCGTTCGTCTTATCCAAGTCATGCACGAAGACTATAAATTTCAATAGCGTTTCTATATATTTCTATCAAATAAGAAATAGAATAAACTGCCAGTGACTACTTTGTCGAGACACAGTAGTCTTGGTCCTCCGAGAACAAATATGTTCCATGATTTATCAGTAAATTTACAAAAGACGATATTGCTAAGACTAAGTCCTACCACAAAAACAGGATCACTAAGACAATTATTATTTCGTGGTGCAGAAGAGGCCCCCATTTTAGTGATGTGATCATGCATTTTTAATGGTAACATAACCTTGGCACTCGAAACAGGGTTGAAGAACAAGCATCGAGGATTAGTACATGTACCTTGAGACATCATTAACCATCCATCAATTGTGCCAAGAACATACTGGTTTCCTGGATATAATAAATTATTTGCAGGGTAAAGAATTGTTTGTTTGTTGAGATCAAAGAAGCAATAATCCAGGTTAGGTTTCAAACCATGACAAAGCAATAGTAGTGAAATTTGGGAATGGGATGTGGCATTAATGTTTGCTTGCGATGGCATTAGAAAGCATAGTTTGCCAAAATGAACAAACTAAACCGAAGTTCAAGTAATCACTGCGGCATAATCTTCGTAAGATACGTTGATTCTGAAATTTCTGGTATGAGATGTTGCCAATTCCTACTTCGACTATGTTTATGCTTTTTTGTGTTGTTTTGCACGTCCATGGTCATGTCGTCAATGTAATGTTTACAGGATGGAATTTGAGCCCTTATATAAATCTAATAAACACAATAGATGAGAAAAATTTGAATATAATTATGAAGAGAAAAAAGATTGCATGTAATCTAAAATTGTGGTATGTTCTAAGGAATGTTAATGGTCATGTTATTTTGGTTATTATATATATTTGTATATTTTTATGGGAAAATTACATATAAATCCCAAATAAAGAATTTATTTATAAAAAAATTCATGAATTTTTGAAAATATTCTCAAGACCATGGAACTTGATTGTAATTAATTTCTCCAATAAAAAAAAATCAAAATGCCCTTGGGCCAAGGTTGTCAAAATCATGATTCTAAGTAAACTCATTATAGAGTAAGGTGAACTCTAAACTCATAACATAAAA